GGGGAATAAGCTAGATAACTTCATGGCCAAAAGTTTTTAATATCATAGTTAAAACAATCAAAAGTTGTGCCTTAGCAATTACATTACACTTCCTGCTCATGTTTAATCTTAGTCACAGATGTAATGAGTGGAAACTTCCTAGGTAAATAAGTTTGTCAGGAAAGAGGCACCGCAGATAAGTGAGTCATCATCTCAAAAATACTTGTAAATCATCGAAATAATTGTAGAAAGTTCTCAAAGCTGTCTATAACTTTTGAAAAAAGGCTTAAAAATATCAATAAAAGTACATCATTCTAATCTGCCATTCAAATTTATGCTATGAAGGCTCCCCTTCTTTTTCCTTAACAATTCTTCCAGAATTGTTGGGTTGTTTATGAGCAACTTTTGGAAAACACTAACAAGTAGCAATCCTTCCAATATATTCTCAGAATTTTAGCACCAAAAGTACTCTTCAACACCCACTTTGACACGGTACCTCCATTCATTCCGCCAACAGAGGATGCAGAAAAGATCTATGGCAGAGGATCAAGTGAAGCTAAAGGTAGTATCCATTTTCAAATTCCATATCCGAGTACTCAATGAGTTATCTTAAGGGCAGTTAGCCTGCATGATTTCTGCAGCTCAAGCGCTTGCCGAATCGAATCCAGACATTGCGGAAAAACTTGCTCTTCTCATCGTTGTTGGTGAAGAGATTGATCATATCGGAATGCAGGTAAACATTTGAGCTGTCAAACAAAATTTTTTTACTCCTCTTCAACGTCCATAAAACAAAGGGTAGAGGTTGTTAACTAGGTTTATGAGCAATTTTATCGTCATTTACCTACTGCGCTGAAATGGGTTAACTCAGCGTGTCATGTCATATCTAAAAATACTCTCAAATCTGTACAAACTAGGGAATGTCGATTTTGGGTGATGAACGTTTTTTTTGGGAAACACTAAGAGATAGCAGTGTTTTCAGGCTAAGAATATTTTTAAAACTTGAAATATCCTTCTGGAAGTTATATTCTTTCCAACATTGTAAGAACTTTGAGTGATTATTTTGCAGCATATTATTACAATTCCGTGGAACAAATATAGCTTTTTGTAAATACACATACTACACATGCACATTCTACACGCACACGCAGACGCAGACGCAAACGCAAACTCGAGTACACAAAGAATGTCAGAGAACCTTGCAATAAATATTATCATTTCCATAATTAGATCTCGTTTTTCAAATAGATTGAAGAAGATTCAAAATTTGATGTGAAACTGGTATTGAACTGTTAAAGATTTTCCATCAGCGATCATCAAATCAACTGTTACCTATACTTCAAGACGGATTAAACAAGATTCAGTATGATACAAAATTTGTATTTACTGTATAAAAATAATGTCCACCATCAAAAATGGTAACA